TTAAAATGGTAAATGGTGACCAAACATACATGTACACCCATTTCCCACATGCATGGCACTTTATCCACGTATCTCCAAAGGAATATGTCCGGTTTAATGGAGATTCTGTGACTTGTATGCGCATGTTCTCAGCGGTAGTAAGTCGAATCTCGTAGGTTCTCGAGGTCAAGTGGTCGGAGAGGCCGCTTCCGTGATCTGTGTCCCAATCCACTCGATTCGACGACCAGTGTAACTGATACTGCGCCCATTCTGATTAAACCCCGTTTTGAGGTATGTATATTTCCGCATTGGGCTGGGGAGTCGATCGGCGAATCGCAGTACAAAAGTGGACTGGTCTTCCTCCCTTTTATGTAGGGACCAGTAGCTAGCTGCCTTTTAACGTGTGCGATTAGCCCTGTCAGTATGGATGGTGAATATGTAACTTTTGTCAGGCCAATACCGGTAGCAATGCTTTAGCATGAAATACGCTTCAGCAGGAATGCGAAAAAAACACAATTACCCGTCCGTGCTAAGCCTGTGTTGATCACAGAGTGCTAATTTATTTTTCAATGATTATCATCAATAAATCATTGTGTGGCACTTTATTTCAAATCAGTGATTATTGTGTCAAATTTTAGATAAATGAACAAATTATGATGAAATTATTTTCGGTAACGAAGAAAAAAAGCAAAATATTCCATCGGCTCCTGCTTGATTTATGCATTAAGCGGGCATCGTTTCTCATTTACATACATCCAGCAAGATTCTGTCGGATTTATTACCCACTACGAGTCCCTACGTTTGGAGGACGTGTGTAAGACGTCTGGAGACTAAGTACGGGACGGGAACCAGTCTAAGTAGAAAAGCAGCTGGCGAAACTCGATGCAATGCACGCGCGCGAGTGGCGAGACGACGGCCGCACTGAGCGAAAAAAAAACACAGACTACGTCATTGGGAAACTTCTATCCGTTGGGAAAACAAACTCGCCCATGCACTCTTGGCCCCCTTGGGTGAAGAATAGAAATGTTACGCGAGTTCACTGGATCTCTGGGGTTTTTTTTCGGGACGCAATGACTGCTGCAATTGGGCAGTGTGCTAATTGAAATGAATGACGGCAAACGTTTCCATTCCATAGCTTTGCGTGTAGGCATTTGAGGTACTTTTGAAGATGTTAAGCGAATGTCTTTTCTCCCCGCGTTGCTGGATTATGGAAATAGGAAGTGGTGGTAAGTGCAAACGAAAAATGGCCGATTTGATTACACTTTGAACAAGATGAAACCTTGGCTTTTTCACCCTACACAGCGTCTATGTCTTTCAGTTTGCATGAATGAAAAACATCGGTTAAGTCTAAGTCTTCGAAAAAGCATCCTGTTACAGCATGAATGTTCCATCTGAGAGTTGAATTCAGGGGTAAATTACGAGACTAAAAAAAACACATACATCTCTATTTTCGATTACGATTTTTGTCCACATCTGTAAAAAGCAGCTTATTCAATCCTGAATCCATTTGACACGGTAACGGGTAAATGGATATATTTTCTTTATCGCTTACTTAATACTAATACTACGAAGTATGTTGACTGGCGTGGATCTTGAAAAGCTCGTTTAAAAACAACTCTTTTAAAGTTTTTACCAGAACAAAACAGGTAACGGCAATGGGCAAAATTATGTTTAGTTACACAAAAATAAGGGATTCAGTTACAGGGGCTTTAGCGGAAAACCCACATTGTTGACGGAGATAAAGTACCCTGGGGATTACTCTGAACTTCGACAACACTTGAAATGGAATGAATCTCGTCACCGTTGATAAACCCCCACATCTGCAGAGGATCACGGAGCAATACAGAGTTGCTGCAACGCTTTAAGACCAGAACGCCACGGTAGAAGAAACTCGAGAAACGAGGAAAAAGTTTAAGTCCCGAACTAATCCCGCCTCAGCGCAAGGCAGCGGCACAGGACAGTATCAGCTTTCAAGGAAAACTGAATTATAGTCGACTATTTCACCATCGGGCTGTAATCGATATTCATCCGCGTCTACGGCTTCAGTGCGCTTTTTTCAAGTGAGGACTAAACGTGTTGTTAACGTAAACACCAAACACTGTTTTGAACTATTTACACTCGAGCCTCTCTCCCGCTCTCGACTCCGGCGGATGTCGAGTACCGTACTCGAAGCGAGAGTTTCTCACTAGTACAGCGTCTACACAGCATAGCCATCGACAAAGGCCAGTAACCATAGTAATATCTCGCTCTGCGCAGGACCATGGTGCTAGGAGCTACATTATAATGAACTGAATTACATTGAAGGTTTTTCTTTCCAGATACATGCAGAGAGGGACTGCCCGCTTCACGTCCTATTAACTAACCGACACCGTGCGGATAACACCCCTCACCAGCCTACTACTTTGGAATTGCAGACAACCCGTTTTACACGAACCACGCTCGCCCGTCACAGCTCCTTCCTTGTACTCCTTTGGCCTACTCATCTCCCCCCTTCCGTTATTAATATTCTCTGTACCTTCTCGGTGTGGCGAATTTGACCCGCGAAAGTGCAGCTTTCTGTAGGAGCGTTTCCAGGTTTGTATTTAGGAGTTTTCGGAGGCGAGGGAAGTCATGACAAGATGGTTCAACGGGTCCAAGAACGTATCAATATTCGGGGCACGCCAAAACAGAAGAAGTGCAGAAAGTGCAGAGCCTCCGTCCTCTCACTCCCCGTCGTTCTCTCAACGCGCTAACTACGCGATTTGTCCCAAATTGAAACGTTTACTAGGGCATTCAAAGAAAACCCACAGCGCGAGGGAGTGTTTTACCGGACCTTCAATGTGGTAACCAAGAAAGTACAACTCCTGGGATCTCGGCTATCTATGCGTGCAACTGTACTGCTTGCTGCGTGATGGTGGTTAGATAGTCAGGACTGAATTGCGAAGCCTGATAAGTCAAATTTTTGACGGAGGCATAATAGCTGAACCGTGGCTTATAGAGATCGCAGGTTCATTTAGTGGGTAATTCAGGAGGCAAAATCGGATCCAGACCCATTTTTGGATTGGGGGGGGGCAAACAAGTAAGCAGCGTCCCTGGTACACTTTGCATTAATTGATCGCACCTGTCACAAGTATTAAGCAGCTGCTCACAAACAGTTCCCCGAACAAAATGGCTCTGTCCATACAAAACAACCTCCATTTAATACACTTAATACCTTCACTGTGAGTGATTACTAAAGCAAAATTCGTATTGGGCGGGGTTTTTTTGGGGGGGGGGCATGGACCCGTTCCCCTCCCCCAGGATCCACTCTAGGCTGATTACCGCGTTGTGAAAATCTCAATGTTTGCAGATCTGTGTGCAAGAAAACTGACGATTTCCTACCGTGGCATTATTTGAACGACCTATCCCTTCGCATCGTGCACTTTAATAGTCTCCACCACAAGCACGGTTTGCCTGTACTCGTCGCCTCATCCCTCAGTCGCCCTCGTTTTTGCGGGAAAATGAGAATCATACATTGTGCACTCTCTGCTCTGGATGAAGCTTATGGCACGTGTTTACAAAAGGTACGAACCTTGTTACCAGAAGTGGCCAAATTGCTGTTTCCGCAGAGTCTACATTTCAACATCGATTCTCTATTGTTTTTTTTGCGCTGGCTATCTTCAGTTGAAAGAGAGGCAATTGCTATAATATAGTGTGAACATTTACGAGAGGTAGAAGAGACGTTGATGTAATCTGGGCGCATTATCCAGCTCGAGCAGTAGCACACCTTTATCGGTTGACTA